CGGTTATACCAAGCAATTTTTGTAATGCCCAAAAGTATACAGTCGTGTGGACGGTAACAAAAATAAACAATTTTTAAGCAGTGAAGCTGGTTAAGCTAGCTACAACGTGTCCGACCATATCTAGAAAAACAGTCTCAGTTTTGCCGCGAAGGCGGAGCAGTGAATGCGGTAGCAACAAAGTCACGCGAATATGGCAAGTAGATCAAAAAAATTGCCCGCAGCTTCCCTCGGGGGAACACTGAGGAGGATGCGGACCATATAATTGGTTAACGGGGTGTTAAAGTGCGACTTACTTGGGTCGATGGCTAAATTGGTTAACGTGGTTGTGAAATGGGGTGTTAAATTGCGACTTACTTGGGTCGATGGCTAAATTGGTTAACGTGGTTGTAGGAGGGGGTGTTAAATGAGTGAACACGTACACACGTATGCGAAAGGGCGGCGCTGGTCGAAGGGACGTCGATCATTGTGTTTGTGGATTCGTTGGAATTCATTTCACCGCGACCTTGGACGTCGACGCGCCGTACAAACCAACCGACGAGCGGCAACTGAGCGAGCGAGCGCCGACCTTGAGTATATATACAGCACGACGGCGCATGCACTGTCAGCTGTTGAATGTTCTCGAAGCGCGACGCCACATGCGCGTCCACTGGAGAATCAGGAGAATTGTAGATGTCGAACGCGGTGTGTAGAGGAGGAAGGGTGCACAGATGGTGGAGGAGTGAAGCGCGCGCGGTGTGTAGAGGAGGAAGGGATGCACAGATGGTGGAAGAGTGGGCGACGGCGCGACGGCGCATGCGCGCGCGTCTGCTGTCGAATGTTCGAGAAGCGGTGCGGACGGCGCGGACGGCGCACTACAAGGCGCGAGTATAAGATGCTCCGCATCTAAAAGTGGCCCATGTTGCTCACGCACAAATAGATTTAGTTGCGCGTTCACAGCAGCCGGACCGATGCAGCCTCCTATGCAGCAGTATACGGACGCAGCCTCCTATTGCGAATGGCTGGCAGGCTGCGTCGGTACGGCTGCTTCGGACGCGGAACTAAATCTTCGTGTCTGAGAAGCGTGCATTTTTTTGCAAACGGAGACTGTGCAGCTAGAACAGCGACCTTTGTGTGCCCGGTAATTACAACCGAATCGTTCCGGCAAAAGCCCAAAGCATACGATTCCCCCCCTCCGCGGGGCGAAGTACGCATGGGAGATGAACGCATCAGCGCGCGCCGCCGCGTCGTGACGATCTGGAAACACACGCTCATTGCGCCATCTCGCTGGTAATGCTGACAACACAATAGTTCGTCCGAGATAGCCATCGCCAGCGGTAAGTGGTAGATGTGAATAGCTTGCCGTTTCAGTGTTAAGGAGGTGTTCCTTCGTGGCTCAGTGACTACGCCATGCACTAAAAATTCAGTGGTCAGTTGTTCAATTCCGCGTGCCGGATTTGTTATGTAGACTTTTCTGTTTTTTTTGCATTTTTATATACACAGATACATATACATATACGGTGAATCTCGACTGACGCCGACCCCGGCAGTAAAATCCAGTCGAGAATGCCCATTTAGTCGCTATTGGAATAAAAAAAAACGATGGACCATTGCGTAGAAACCGTTTACCTCACACAGCTGGTGTGAGCAATATGAATCCGCGGGAAAGCTCGGGGTAGTAGCTGCGCACCGACTGCGCCGTTGTATTTGTACATACTAGTCGAACATTGCCACGCCGCATCTGGAGTGACGCCATGTGAAGTTGCACATGCGCCGGACTGCAACTGTGCAGCAACCATGCACGAGCTAAGTAACAAAAAATTAGCCCCGTATCTGCATGTTTCACTGCAAATATAATCGAAAGACGATAGTCTTGTGCGTGGAGAGAAAGAACAAAACGTTTATTTGATGTTCTGCGCGACAAAATTGGTGAATTGTATTCTGGAAGGGCTGCGTAGAGAGTCTCGATTCGTGCAGCGAAGGCGATGAGCGCATCGAGGCACGTTAGACACGAGCGCCATGTGGCAGTTATCCTCAAAAGCGAAGGAAGGCGTGAGCGCCCGCGGAGAAAGATGCCCGCCTGTCTCGGAGGTGATAAGGAGTAAAACGAAAACCAATGGGCAGGGCCACCACCGTGTCGTCTTGGCAAAACGTTGGAAACACTTGCCTTTTTGAGCATCGCGTTGCACTGTCAGCGCAGCGTGATAAACGCTATGGTCCCTCGCATTTTATTTTTGTGTGCCTTCTCTAGTATAAGGCACACATACAAAACATCGACGTGTTGTTATAGTACCTCAGATATGCGCAATAATTGCTTTTTAGTTGACGATTGTACAAGTATGAACGCTGAAACATCAGAAGTATTGGTGGGCGCGGCGGATGGGGCTGGCCGTTTGAGGTACCATTAGGTGTTTTAGAGAAATAGTTACCGCGGACAAACAGACAAAGGAACAGACAGACAGAGAGATGAACAAACAGACAGACAGACAGACAGACAGACAGGCAGACAGACAGACAGACAGACAGACAGACAGATGAACAAACAAACAGACAGACAGACAGATGAAAAAACAAACAAACAGACAGACAGATAGATGAACAAACAAACAAACAGACAGATGAACAAACAAACAGACAGACAGATGAACAAACAAACAGACAGACACAGACAGACAGACAGACAGACAGACAGACAGACAGACAGACAGACAGACAGACAGACAGACAGACAGACAGACAGACCAACCTTTTGGCATCGAAAGTCCCCAAGAAAGACTATCGCCTTTCAAAAAATATGAGCTGTGTTGAGACAGTTTCTCCATGGGTCGCCCTAAGGAGGGGGCCGTGTTTCGCGAAGTGAGACTCACCGCTATGCGGGAGAGACAACGCTAACGACATGCCGATTACAAAAACCCTCGAACAGTGAAGTTCAACTATGGTACAGCCAAGTATCACAGTGTTACAACCTTGAAGCAGCCATGTTCAACCAGGATATATATACAAACGGGAAATCACGAGATCGAACACGTTCGCTTTGCTTTGGTCTTGCGTGACATAGAAGAAACTGCGTACTGTTTTTACTTATCATTTCTGATATTTTTCATCGTTTTGAGACTGCCTGAGCAAGAAAAGTAAAAAAAAAAGCATTCCGCACCGCCCTATCAACACCAAAATACTATGAAATACCACTAGCGTTACTTAATAAAATGGTTTACTACTTACGGTAACGATGACACTTCATTGTAACCTTTGTATTGCACGTTTCATTGCTGTGAAATGAAACCAAAGATACAGTCAATGTAAACTAAGGGAATTCGCAGACACAAAATATCATGAATGAAGTAACATTGTAAAATTGTTTACCTGAGCGCAAGGAACTGCATTACGTTCTCTTGTCCACGTGACTTGTCGCTATTGGAATAAAAAAAAACGATGGACCATTGCGTAGCAACCGTTTACCTCACACAGCTGGTGTGAGCAATATGAATCCGCGGGAAAGCTCGGGGTAGTAGCTGCGCACCGACTGCGCCGTTGTATTTGTACATACTAGTCGAACATTGCCACGCCGCATCTGGAGTGACGCCATGTGAAGTTGCACATGCGCCGGACTGCAACTGTGCAGCAACCATGCACGAGCTAAGTAACAAAAAATTAGCCCCGTATCTGCATGTTTCACTGCAAATATAATCGAAAGACGATAGTCTTGTGCGTGGAGAGAGTGAACAAAACGTTTATTTGATGTTCTGCGCGAGAAAATTGGTGAATTGTGTTTTGGGAGGGCTGCGTAGAGAGTCTCGATTCGTGCAGCGAAGGCGAACGAGCGCATCGAGGCACGTTAGACACGAGCACCATGTGGCAGTTATCTTCAAAAGCGAAGGAAGGCGTGAGCGCCCGCGGAGAAAGATGCCCGCCTGTCTCGGAGGTGATAAGGAGTAAAACGAAAACCGACGGGCAGGGCCACCACCGTGTCGTCTTGGGAAAACGTTGGAAACACTTGCCTTTTTGAGCATCGCGTTGCACTGTCAGCGCAGCGTGATAAATGGTATGGTCCCTTCCATTTTATTTTTGTGTGCCTTCTCTAGTATAAAGGCACACATACAAAACATCGACGTGTTGTTATAGTACCTCAGATATGCGCAATAATTGCTTTTTAGTTGACGATTGTACAAGTATGAACGCTGAAACATCAGAAGTATTGGTGGGCGCGGCGGATGGGGCTGGCCGTTTGAGGTACCATTAGGTGTTTTAGGGAAATAGTTACCGCAGACAAACAGACAAATGGACAGACAGACAGATGAACAGACAGACAGACAGACAGACAGACAGACAGACAGGCAGACAGACAGACAGACAGACAGACAGACAGATGAACAAACAAACAGACAGACACAGACAGACAGACAGATGAACGAACAAACAGACAGACAGACAGACAGACAGACAGATGAACAAACAAACAAGTAGACAGATGAACAAACAAACAGACAGACACAGACAGACAGACAGACAGACAGGCAGACAGACAGACAGACAGACAAACAGACCAAACTTTTGGCATCGAAAGTCCCCAAGAAAGATCTTTCAAAAAATATGAACTGTGTTGAGACAGTTTCTTCATGGGTCGCCCTAAGGAGGGGGCCGTGTTTCGCGAAGTGAGACTCGCCGCTATGCCGGAGAGACAATGCTAACAACATGCTGATTACAAAATTACAAAAACCCTCGAACAGTGAAGTTCAACTATGGTACAGCCAAGTATCACGGTGTTACAACCTCGAAGCAGGCATGTTCAACCAGGATATATATGCAAACGGGAAATCACGAGATCAAACACGTTCGCTTTGTTTTGGTCTTGCGTGACATAGAAGAAACTGCGTACTGTTTTTACTTATCATTTCTGATATCTTTCATCGTTTTGAGACTGCCTGAGTAAAAAAAGTAAAAAAAAGCATTCCGCACCGCCCTATCAACACCAAAATACTATGAAATACTACTAGCGTTACTTAATAAAATAGTTTACTACTTACGGTAACGATGACACTTCATTGTAACCTTTGTATTGCACGTTTCATTGCTGTGAAATGAAACCAAAGATACAGTCAATGTAAACTAAGGGAATTCGCAGACACAAATATCATGAATGAAGTAACATTGTAAAATTGTTTACCTGAGCGCAAGGAACTGCATTACGTTCTCTTGTCCACGTGACTTGTTGCTATGACGTAGAGACATCGCATATGGCGACTCAAGTGCTATGATACTGGTCTCGGAAGCTTTTCTAGAAAAAAAGAATAAAAACAGAGCATTTGGCACGTCATATATCATACTAGAATAAGGAGGGTGAAATTTAACAAAAGTTAAGATAGCGAATAATTTTTTATTTTACGCTTGATTGATTGATAAGTGTAATTTAACTTCCCAGAACCATCATATGATTATGAGAGATGCCGTAGTAGAGGGCTCCAGAAATTTGGATCACCTTGGGTTCTTCAACGTGCTATTTCACTCTTCACCAATAAATGTCAATGTAGAAAGTTTTGTTTCGGTACAATGTAGGTGCTGCATAAATATTACTGTTGCGGCCACAGTTGAGAAGGGTGTTCTAAAGATAAATAATTAACGCACGAGATGTCTCGTTTTGACCTGCACATTGGGGCAAAATGAGACACAGTGTGGGGCAAAATGAGGCAGTGTGACAAAAATTTCATCCCTCCAGATTTTGCAGTAGAATCGAGCCCACTCCTAGCACTCCACGCAATAAATCCAGACAGAACCGGCGCTGTGTTGCTCCAAAGCTCCTAGCAAGTCAAGCACCCCCAGTCTTTGTTTTTGCTAATGGTGTCTTTTGTTGAACGCTTGCACTTCATTATATTATTTAATGATTGGAGGCTAGGTATATTCCGACGCATCTTCTTCGCCTATCTTTGCCGCTTTGATGCAGAACTGCACGGACATTTCGTAGCTTCAGCTTTGTCAGCCGGGCTTTGTGAGGTGATGAATTTCGAATTTTGTGTTGCTTGGTATTTTTTTAAAATTGTAGTATGAGCAAAATAATATTGAAATTAGATTCCAAGACGTGTTTGCGAATGGCTTGACTTGAAGATTTTTTTCAATGTTTTTATGCGTCTCTTGAGAGCATCTCTGGGAACGCGGAACAGCCGCAATGTAGCGCTAATGGAGTCCTGTCCTCAACAATAGTCAGTGTTTTTTATGTCATTTTCAACCCATGAAGCTTCATATAAAGTTTCTTGTACGTCCTAACCCTCCTGAATAAAATTATTAATATTTATTTATTATGAGCAAACGGTTCACTTAACTATAAGACACTGTCTAAGGCATTTCGATTACTTTTTGTCAAATTTTGTTCCTCCGACAAGCCTGAATTTTAAAAAAATTCCGCTTTAGCACCATTCACCAAATGAACCTAACTTTGGGTGGTATGTGGCTAGTAGTATGAAGTAACAAAATAAAAATGTAAGTTGTACTGACGTCGGAGTATCTTCATGCACGGATCCGAAAATTTGGCCTAGCAGAGTTTCGCCCCTTTTTGACTGGTCATGAACACACCGACACCAGCTACGTAATCATTCCCATGCGAATGCTGTGAGCAATAATAATTTCTTACACATAAGATGGTAGACAACTACCAGCACCTATCGCTGAAATAGAGAACAAGAAATATACTTATGGTATTATCTACAAAGGTCCGCAAGTCAAAATGTCGGGTTTTGCGCCTTGTCTCATTTTGCCCCACCCTATCCCTGAGACGTGACCTACAATAATAATTTTTCAACAGCAGATTGAACTGTGATATGAGAATCGCAAAGCTTACACTACGTGCCTTCTCGTTTTTATGAGGTTTTTTTTGGCAAATAGTTTGGAAGTAGGGCGAGCATTGGCGACATTCTGCGAACGGCGAAGAGTTTCTCCAACATAATAATAACATTGGCAGTTGAGTATTACGCAAAAACTGACATATGTTTTATGCGAGCAAAGCTGTATATATGAAGGTGCTATGTTTTATGCAAGTAGAAGCATTATAAGGTTCATGGAGCCAGCTGATTTTGCGTAAATGCATCGTTAGTAAATATAGACCATTTCGGTCAAACCAAAACCGCGGTGTATCTCAGGCTAATACGTACTCGAAGCCCATTTCATGACAGACGCTGTCGCTGAGTGCGTCGTCCCAGGTGTCGCCACAGGCGGGCATCCAACTAACTCCTTTCCTCCCGTGAACAACCGCATCTCTTAGTTGGACTGCAGAAAAAAGGAAGACCAAATACCGTGTCATCAACTTGTTTAGCTATAACCGTGCCATTGACTTCCCTCGTTCTTAGACATATTATTCTTTCAATAACCCCTTTTGCAGCAATTGAATAAATCTAAATATATTTCACAACTAGTATTCATCTCGTTACATCTTTTTTCAAGCTCGATGTGCCAACATTTATTGGCCCATAACATTTATCTACAAATATATAGCAGTGTATGCCAGATGGAAATACAAATAAAGTTTGTTTTAATAATGTAACCTCATGTCTGCACGATTCAGGGGCAACTATGTGGTGTGGCAACTTTTCGTTTGTAACGCATGAGATGAACCTCACATTTTTTTAGGTCAGACTAGCATTTGGCGCGAAAGAGCTTGAAGTGAAGTTAACAGATCGAAGCATGTTTACAATATAAATCTGCTTGATGAATATAAGATTACGTGAGACACGAAGACTTACCACAGTTGATTTCATCACTGGCGTCTTTGCAGTCGTAAATGCCGTCACAAACGCCGGAGTGGTCAACGCACATGTCGCCCGAGTTGCAAGTGAAGCCTAGACAGGTCGAACCTGCATTAAGAAAGAAAAGCGTTAAAGGGACCCTGCAACTCTTTTTCAACATAGTCGAAAAATGCTACCGATTTGTAATCGAGGCTTCGCAGAACACACGAGCTAAACACTATAGCGTAGCACGCGGCCTGGAATTTACAGTTCATTCTCAAAGCCAGGTACGAATTTACCGTAAGGCAACGATAAATGGTCTAGTTGGTTCACTGCTGTTCGACATTCTTAAACTGAGCGAAAAGAATAGTACACGAGTAAGAAAACATAGAGAACACCACTAGCGCGAACTTCCAACTGTCTTGACACTCTGCGTTTGTGGTGTTCTCTTTATGTTTTTTACTCGCCTACTCGTCTCTTCGCGCAGTTTGAGAACGTCGAACAGCTAGAAATCGTTCTCTCTTATTTGTACAAATGATGCCATATACGAAAACAACCACGCCATGTACCTAAATTCACGGCTACTAACTGTTTTGAACGTCGTAAGCTGCACAGTTACAGCGACGACCACGAGAGGCCTCCGCTGCTTGCCCGTGACCACTGCGAAGATAAGGAACGCGTCCCAAAAAAAAAAAACATAAAAGTGCTCAAGCTTTTGACGAGTGCATGGCGTAACTAGATTAAGCCTCCAGCGCGCTCGTCGAAACGAAAGAGGCAAGAAAGCAATCACAGCATACGACACATCTCTACAACTGCGCTCGTATTTGAAGGATTCTCAAAATGTTTTAGATGCGAAGCATCTCTGCTCAGATGTATGTCACACATCCATAGTTCACACTCACAGAACACATGCGTGGCTCTCTTCTTTCCCTCTCCCCAAAGCTGCACGTTGCCCTTCCCCTTCTCTCTCCTGCTTACGCTCGCTCCCCCATTGCGCATGTGTGTCCCCTCCCCTCTCTCCTTTCCTACACTACCACTCTCAAGCCTCGCAACGCCGCCACAGAGTGTGTCTGCTAACCTACATTCGCTCCCCATTTGCTACAGGTATTCCTCCCCGGAGAGTCTCGCAAAGCCGACGCAGGCAGCATCTGAACAGCAGTACGTTACTCTCTCCACTTCTCTCCTACCACCTGCTCGTACTCGCTCCCCTATTGCGCATGAGTGTCCCCTCCCCTCTCCTACGTTCCCACTTTCCCGCCTTGCAACGCCGCCGCAGGGAGCGCCTGCTAACCTACGCTCGCTCCTCCCTTTCTTGTAGGCACTCCTTCCCGCGGCGTCTCGCAAAGCCGACGCAGGGAGTCTGCTAGCGAGCTTCTAAATTGAAAAAAAAAAAAAAAAAACTGCTCACGCTGCACAACGTGCAATGCTCCTCATCACCCCATGATCCCCTTTTGAAGAATGGTATAATTCGTTTTTCGCGATCGATTATTGAGACAATAAACAACACCAATGAGAGCATTCTATGGTTAATTAAAAATGTGCGGCAGAGCATCTTTAATAAAAAAATGACTAGTCGCATCTTGATTATCACCCAAAATAATCTTCGAATAAGCCCTGCGACGTTGTAAGAATCAACTTATTCTCGTGAAAGTCCACAATGTGCCCCAGCTGAAATCTTTTGATGTGCGGCCTTGTAATTCTACAACCTGTCTTTACTGGTTAGTGAAACTTCAGAAAACTTGCGCAAAATTTACGTCAATTCCGTTGGTGAGTTCAAAGGCTTATGGAACTACCTAAGAGAACACTTCATTACGGCCAGACACGTTCTGTATTTGCATGACTATCCAACTGGTATTTAAATAAGCACAAATATCAGAAACACACGATAAATAGGATCACAGGACTAGGCACTGAAATAAGAACTGACAGGTTTGCATCTTATGCTCTCGGCTTTTGCGCCGCTTTAAATACAAACGTTAAAAGCGCTCCCTGACTTAAGACTTTTGATAAACTTACTATGCGATGCGACGTGCATCGTATCGTTCTTTTCTGCAGGAGACGGCGCACCAATCGCAGCCTCGGCAGTGACACTCTGCAAATCTTCGCCGGTAACATTTGCCGCGGCTGCCATTGTGGACGAGCTTTCTGGCGACACCGTAGTCGTTTCATTGTCTCGAATCATCAGCACTGCATGGCTCTCATGCCCATGGCTTGTCAACATTGGCATCGTGGTCACCTCAGCACTGGAAGTGTTTGTCAACGCAGTTGATGTGGTCGTCCCGCTCTCCCGACTCTCTCCCTCCATGTGTCTCGAATGAGCGTAGTCGTGCGTAGTTGCATGAACGACCTCGTGGGACATTTCCGTCAGGAGCTCCCATCGCAGTTCCTGCGACTGCAGTCCTGTTCTCCACAAGCATACCTGGTTCAGTTGTCATTGCCCCCTCGGCGCTGTTGCGCTCTATAAACGCCTGCATCTCGTCGACGACAGTGCGATTGGCAAGTAGCGCCGCTGATCGGCCCCTACTCTCTGTTCTCGTATCGTTCGTGTGCGCGGCATGGTGCTGGCCTTCGTGGTAGTTATGATGATGGTAGTGGTGGTGGTGGTGAGCATGATGTGAAGAGGACGTGGAGGCATCGCGACTGGTCTCGCTCGAAGGCGAGAGCTCGCCGGAGTCGACGTCCATGAGCCGCATGGAGGCAATGGTCTCGTGAGGGTCAACCGTCGTGGTGGCGACATCGTGGTGGTGACTGTCATAATGGTCGCCGCCATGGTGGTGGCCGTTGTCATGATGGCCGTCGGTAGCGTTCGCAGTCGTCATAACCATCGTCGTGGTCGTCGTCGAGTGTACCCCCGCGTGGTCGACCTTGTGAAGCCTAGCTTCCACGCCCGCACCAACGTGTGTCATCGGAGTCTTCGGAATGGTCGTCGTGACGTTATCCTCTTCGAGGATCGAGTCCTTCGTGTGGTTCACCTTGGGAATGATGCCCTCCAAGTCGAGGAACATGACGTCGTGCGCCGTGGTCGCCGACGCCGGCGTCGTCGTAACGCTCGCGTTCTCTCCTTCGTGTTCACCGTGGATGTTGTCGTGAGAGTAGAGGGCGGCTGCCATGGCGGACGCGTTGTGCTCGAGGCCGGCCATCTTGCCGGCGGCGTGCGAGCGCACCGCGGCCGAGACGTTGCCGTCGTCAGCCTGGGGGAACTCTAGAAGGCTGTACAATTGCGGATCATGGGTGACATTGTAGGAGAGCAGGCCGGTCACGTTGTGGATGAAGTCCCGCATCTCGTAGATATTGGAGAACACGGACGGGTGCTTCTGGTAGGTGCCGCAGTGGCGCTGGTAACTGAGCACGCCGGCCAGGCGCCAGATGCTGTTCGGCGAGAGGCACATCAAAGGAGCTCCAAGATCACCCTGCATGGCAGAGAAAAAAAATTACACGGCTTGCAAAGATTGAGTGCTACTTCAGTTTGGCACAGTTGCGATCTGCTCGCTCGTTTAGGTTTGCCATTTCTTTCAACATGCTACATTTCATCATGCGAATTATATGCGCTTCTCGCAAACAGTCAAGTGAGTGATACGGTTTCCGCTCTCAGTGTTTCACTATTCCTGCACTTCAAAGCCACACAGAGGAATCCTGCCTAATTACGATAAATTCAACACTGATAGTGGCGACGGCATTGACGTTCGCGATAGGTCGTCAGGTCGCTGGAAACGCCACGGGTAATGCATCCACATACGGAAATGCAGCCCTTACCTAATCAAAACTTCATAAGCGAATTGTAAGAAACAGCTGAATGGGGAACATGTCGACGCGCTATACTCACGTCACACAGCTGACGCTTCATTTGACGCCCATCTCCGCAGATCATCTTCTGGGTGACGCCGTTCTTGTAGTGTTCCTCGTTGTTGCACTGTGGTCAGCTCGTTTATGACGATCGGCAGGTGAATGATCGACGAGGCCGTCTTGAACGGAACTGCAAGTGCGGCCAAAAAAATCGGTCGGAATAATAATAATAATAACAATAATATTAAAACTGTTTCGCCAAAAGGGCAAAGCAATGAATGCGATATCAACATATTTGAATGTTCGGCAAAGCAAGTCTAGTATTTTTAGGAGCAATATGAATTGCAGTAAACATGCACTTGCTAAGTAACCGAGTTTCCTGCGGCGCGGCCGCAGTAGATGACCACAACAGGGCTCGCGCATAGTGACGGCGTTGATATACGAAGTTAGGCTGGCAGTCAACTCATTTAGATCCGATCCCACGTAACTCTACAAAAAACGCTGGTGTAAGAGAACACGGCCTCTCCAGGTACACTTTTCGCACTATATTTTTTGTGTGTGTGTGTTAAGAGTGAAACACGTAGAAGCTCCCGCCTACTGTGGGGGCACAGGCCGCGCACTGATCATTGCTGCGATAGCGCTGCAATTATAAGCCCCCCCCCCCCCCTGTTTTCTCACGAGATAAGCTCGTGCGCAGACGACCCAGGCCAGAAAGGCGATGTTCGCTCCACATAAAAAATAGGGCAGCACATCTTTCCCTGTAATATATATATATATATATATATATATATATATATATATATATATATATGAATGAGAGTGGTGGTGTCAGCAAAAACCAGCCGGCCGAGGATGTTCATATAATTGCTATCGCAATAATAATCATATAAATAATATTAATATACAGGGTGTTACATCCCAAAACCACTATATGTTTACGAGAGACGCCGTAGTAGAGAGCTCCGGAAATTTCGACCAGCTGGTGTAATATAACAAGCCTTGACATCGCAAATACACGGGCCTTTATTTGGTTTGAGTAAGTATTAAAACCTTTTTACAATGCGACTCAATGCATTGGTAACGTGTTGTATTGTCGTGTTGTATATTAGTAGCACTAAATATGAATGTAACAGTAAGAGTATACCTCGAGTGTACCTTCTTTTCACTATACCACTGGGAAAGATCCGGCAATTTAAAAAAGATGAAACGCGTGAGCTTCCAGCACAAGGCATTGTGCGAGAACTCGTGCCCATCTTACTACATAGTTGAATGACATCAGAGCAACTGCGTGTCGATCCCGATCAGTGTTTATTTCATCATGCCATCTGTATATCAGTGTTTCATACCAACAAATGTTAATAATCACAATATATAAGTAACAAATTTATCAATCGCAACAACTGCGTTCTGGATACAAAACCACTCAATGTTACCACGATAAAAATTATTTTAGACTTGAAGCACAGCAAAAGCACCTTTTACTGACACTTCTTTCCTAAATCAATCAAAGATTAAAACAACCAACAAATTTCTTGTTGATTGTTTCAGACAATGGTTCAGTTTTCTTGTTACAATGTTTTTCAAGTAGCAATAGTATTTTGTTATATTAGTATTGCATTGCAAAATTCATTTACGCCTTTACACACAAGCACACACACACACACACCACACACGCTCGCAGCCCCTCTTTCTACCTCGTATTTAATGCCTTGATAAAAATGTCGGTGCGCTGACATAAATAAATAAATAAATAAATAAATAAATAAATGAATAAATAAATAAATAACCTACCTCTGGGCCTTCCGTCTCCCAGGCTTCCGACGAAGCAGGTGACGCCCGGCCGGGCCACGTCGTCGGGCAGGCAGACGGCCGACGCGACGTGGTTGGCGAACGACAGCGGTTCGGCGAGCCTCACCAGGGCCAGGTCGTAGTCGGGCAGCGTCCTGGAGCGGAACTGCGAGTAGTGCGGGTGCAGCACCACGCGCACCACGCTGTGGTGCTTGCGGGCGCTGGCGGGGCGCATGAATCCCGCCTGCACGTACAGCTGCGAAGCGTTCGGCGGAAGCTGCCTGCGGAAAGAGAGAGGTAAGGCAAACGAAGAACGAGCTGGAGAAACACATATCTGCATAGCAGCGCGTGCCTCAGGCAGCCACCGCCGATATAGACCGGCGAAGGCATCTGCCGTTTTATATAAGTGGTCCGGTGACCACCACTCAGCAAGTTATACTTTGACGTTATAATTCGATTCCATTCTCTCGTCGAGTTGAAACACCCTGTATTTACCTCCATGTCGCCCCACCGACGTGGTCGGCCCATTTCGGGCCAGGTGGCAATGGCATGTGACGACTTTATCAAGTCACGTAATGACGTCATTGATGACAACCCAAAAGTGACGCCATTGACGACGACATTCTGCTGTTTATGACCTTTTTTGGAGCGTCCTTGTAGATGCCGAATATTGAGGCTCTTGAGACATAAAGGGCTTTGGTTCTTACGAATCCTGAATCCAGTCGCTTGACATGCATATGTGTACACACCATGACACGGAACAAACGGCAAAAGACGACTCACTGGAGACAGTAGGCGGTGGTGAGGACCCAGAGCGGGCTCACGATCTCTCCGTGGCAGGCGGTCGACGAGTCGTTTCCGTGCAGGAGAGCCAGGTAGGGCCAGACGTCGTTCTGCGTCGACTGCCCCGTCGCCTCGCGCTCGATGCGGAACAGCACTTCCGTCTGATTCTCGCACTCTGCGGTAAGAAATCGCGAGTCGTCATTGCGAGGAACGTACTCAGCGTGAAAATACACGGACGGCCAGAATCAAGGAGAAAGAAAGAAAGACATCAACGCAGAAAATGAATTACGATAGAGCCCACCTCTACTTGCTCTAAGAAGGAGAGAGAAATGAAGGGGCAATGAGGTTAACCACTTAAGGAAGTGCTTGGTTGGCTACTCTGCACTTGAACAGGTTACTGGAAATAATGCACCGAATATTAAAAAATAAAAGGTGAAAAAAAAGACAGAAGTATAGGACAGCCAGTGATTGATTGATTTGTGGGGTTTAACGTCCCAAAACCACCATTTGATTATGAGAGACGCCGTAGTGAAGGGCTCCGGAAATTTTGACCACCTAGGGTTCTTTAACGTGCACCCAAATCTGAGTACACGGGCCTACAACATTTCCGCCTCCATCGTAAATGCAGCCGCCGCAGCCGGGAATCGAACCCGCGACCTGCGGGTCAGCAGCCGAGTACCTTAGCCACTAGACCACCGCGGCGGGGCAGGACAGCCAGTGAGAACATGCAGAAAACACGCTAACGCTCAACGATCGTTCGCGATGTCCAGTCGCCTTTATGCAACACGCATGTAGTGTTGCAAAGCGAATATAATAAGCCGGAACGTTATGAAGGAATTATTTGCAAAAGCTAATGAATTTTAGTGAAACGGTAAAGACACAAACAACTAAGATGTGTTTGGCGTTACGAGAATAACTACACTTGAATTAAGCACTTGCTTTTGAAGAGCGTAATAGCGTGTGCTCACACGTAGCAATGAGAGCGTATACTACTACTGCTTCAATATATTGTTACGTTTGAAAGAGACTATTCTATATACAATTCTATATAGTAGTAAAGTTGGCGGTTCTCCGTCTGAGCTTAGTACACCAAAATGGCGCAGCATCAGCGATTATTCGTTGGCTGCGCTTGAGGCACATACTAAACAAGTCCAGGTGGCAAAAATTATCAGGGATGATCAACAAATAACTGGTGATGCAACTAGTATCAGAAAAGCAAATGATGAAGTGGAACATTCACCGGTTACATACGCTACTTCCGCTTGCTATGCTAAGCTGACCCGAATTTCATTGGCCGTGCGTTGCTATGGGTCATTAAGCTCACGGAAATGAAGGTGCGAATCGCCCGCGAACGATTGTCGCTGTACTCACCGAAATAGTCGCACCTGACGGCGAGCGCACCGTGATGGCACGAGTCCACAAAGGTGAGTCCCTTGGACCACATGGTGTCGGGACCGTCGTCGGGCGCGTTCCACGAGCCCCACGTGGTGACATTGGCCTCCACTCTCACCGTTCGTATCGAAAGGGCACCGCTGTAAGACGCGAAGGGGGGAAAAGAAACTAAATTAAAATAAACAGCGAAAACCTTGCAAGAGGTTCCACAAAAACAAGGAAGCACAGCGGTGAAAATTCGTTGAGCTTTCGATTCACTTACGTAGCTATTTCCTGGAGTGTGCAAGCATTGAACAGACAGAGATCGGAGAAACAGAAAATGTCAATTGACACTGATAGGCGAAGCGAGAAAACCGCGTTAAAGAGAAATCTGTTGTTCGTGTAGGAATATTGTGGACGTAGTCATGACTACATTCCAGTTTGCTACCCTACAAATGGGAAAGGGCAAGTTACATGATTGGCTTTTGTCATGTTTTAGATATCCGCGTTGTCCAACTATTCTAAACTTGGAATACCAGCTATCGAAAGTCAAATCGAGTTGTTCGATTCAGTATTATTTGAGTCACACTCAGAACTCCATTCGCCCACCCCTATACTTGAAAGTAGAGATTCACAAGCAGACAATTAAATAAAATAAAGAAAAGAACACAGAAGGTAGAAACGTCGATGAGCAACCTTGTAAATAACTTGACGCAAGGTTCTGCAGCTCTTGCGTAAGACGCGTATGAAGTGTAGACATGTCTTTAGTGTCTTTTTAAATACCGGTAATGTTGAGTATAGAAAGAGTGCATGGCCCTGGTTCAACGAACCTGTATCCCATCTCCTGGCAGAGTTGGTTGCCGTGATCGAGCGTCGCGTTGTCCGCGCACATGAGCGTCCACGAACCCAGGTCGCCGTCGAACGCCTTGCGCCAATCCGTTGTTGTCCACTTGCACTGAAATGACATGCGTGCGTTCTATCATAAATACTTGCGTTTTCCGTCGTAACTACGGTAATCAACAGGGTGGCAAGGTTGGAATGAACTCTTGTTCATGTACGATATATTTTAGCTACTTCTTTCATATCATGCGTTTTTACAGCGAAAGCTGTAATAAGATAACAACAAGAGTCGCGTTCTCTGCAGCTGTCCGCCGCCACTGTTGCTAGTAACCACTGTCACAGAAAATAAGAAAAAAACTAAGTACATAAAATAAACGTCAAGGACACATTGAGGTTCGAACCAAGGACCCCGGCGTGCCAGCCCAGTAATCTACCACTAAGCCACGTCGGTGCTTTTTTTTTCTTTAATGAATGAAATTATCACCAGTAAAGTACACAGAACATACTTCATCAGAAGTCAGGCAAACACACACAAGGGTCAAGAACGGGAAGCCACTCCGGAACGGGGTCAAAAGTCTCGACAACACTACGCACTTGAGCAGCTGCTTCTCAAAAACTCCGTTGCAAAATGACCATAGGCAGCCCCATTTTCGGGAAAATAATCGCGTCAATATGAGCAATGAAATGTTTTATAACAGAAAAGAATAACCAGGCATCACAGACTGCGAACTGCGTAACGAGTGGGTACTCAAATCCTCGAACCGCATTACAAAAGCTTCAGGCATAATTTTTCATAGTCGTCCACCCCTGCATTAAACAATTGTACAAAATTATTTGCAAGTGTATAGAGGGTACCACGCTTCTCGAAGAATGACGAAGGATGGCATAATAACTGCCTCGATACAACACAAAATTTATGATAATTTATTGCGTAGGGGGTACCTTGCAAGTGTTCTTGTAGCAGTTACCCAAAGAATGTTTAAAGAAGGCTATAGAAAGGCCGCTATTTCAGCTTTTGCTGTGCCTATGGCTGCGCGTTCTGCGCAGGCCGGTGGTTTTTATTTTTTCTGCTAATCTTTCCTACTCTTTCTTCTCTATCATTGCAATGTAGCCAACCTAATAGTTAATTCTATCTATCAATCAATCAATCAATCAATCAATCAATCCATCAATCCATCAATCCATGCAGCTTGCTGCTGTTATGACGATGTTTTACATTTTACCGAGAAGTATTCCCGAATTCCCTGCCTATGAAAGGAAGTCTCTTTTGAAGTTGGCTTTGCCACAGAAAGCCTCATATTACGGTGAAGCCACCTTTCGACAAGCACTGGTTAGGAATGTGCAAGGATTATGACTCCACGGCAACGTGTCTTGACTAAAGCGATACTCAGTCCTGCAAACTGCTTGAAAGTGTCTTTTAAGTGTGAATACACTTTATAAGCGACCCCAAACCATCCACCGCCGTCGGCGGCGTCCGCAGTCTTCTCTCTATCTTTAAAAGAAAGAGGACTTGGCGGGCCGCAGCGCGACGCTCTACCGAATAAGGGCCAAACCTCATAAGCACGAAAATGCACGCGACAGCGACGAGTGACGCTATGAGCGACGAAACAGGGCGTTCGCGCGACGTGTCGCTTGCTCGTTTTCGCGCGATCGCTCGGTTCTCCAGATTTGGGAACCGTCGCTCATCGCCCGGAAGTGCTGGGCTCAAGCAGCCAATAGCGAAATACCGAAAAGACAAATACTACATAGGTGCACGTGACCCTGCCCGAGTCACGTATGCGCAACAAGAAATAACGCAATGTTTATTACGCATGTGCATATAAAAAAGTGCTGCAAGGCAATAATAAACACTTTCCGTTTCATTACACAACAATATATCTTATTTTTAAATTGCATACCGCTCGCTACGCGGTTTTCTTGGTGCGAGTAGACGGCCTCATGCCAGCAACAGTGGAATTCGCTCGCCGAAGCCGTCGCGTGAATGAGGTTTGCCTGTGCTAGCGACTGATCGCGCGAAGCCGATCTACGTCGCGTCGCTTGTCGCTGTCGCGTGCATTTTCGCGCTTATGAGGTTTGGCCTTAAGCCACGGACGCGACGCTGATATCGGTGTCAGTAACCAACACCACCTAGAACTCATTTAGGTGGTGTTGCAGTAACGCGCCTTATACCCCCTCCCCCTTCGCTCACCCCTCCGCTCTCCTCGCTCGCTGCAGCTGCGCGCGCACCCCTCTCTCTCGCGCGCCCGCCTTCTCTCAGTCTCTCGTCGAGAGCGGGTCGTGAGGGGGAGTAAAGTTAAAATCCGTTGGCATTCGCCAGTGAGTTAACGTAAACTCCCCCATGTGATCAAATTGCGATTCCCAGGAACCATTACACCATAAAGGCACCATAGTGTGATTATTAAATATAATAGTGCGAATTAATAAATACCCCTCATAGCATCACCCCGTGTATTCGCACTTAATCATGTTCACCCTCGGGGAAATGCTTGGGAGTTTTTTCCTTTGCCAGGGTATAATCTATATAACCTATTCGAATTAACCCTTTGTGCGACAGTGGGACATGTAGTCCCGCTTTTTCATCGGCAGAAAGAACGTTCTCCCACATCACTCGTTTCGATTCACGCAACGTTAAGTCATTGAACTCTAGGTAATTTCGAAGAATATTGTCTTGCCTCGCTTCCGAATGGCGGTCGTAGTGTTACCATGGCGTTGAAATTCGCTCAATATTTTTTTATGATGGCTTCTGAATTTTCTTCTTCTTCGGGTTGATAGAACTTACCAATCAAAAAGCCCGCAAATTTTTTCTTTTGTTTTTTTTTTGGAAAAGGGACTTCAACTTCCAGTCATCACGCAGTTCATTTCTTTTTTCGAATTCGCGCAATACCTTGACTAATAAATGCATCAGAACGATTCCCTATATCACCCCGCTCACCTCTCAGCGCAATCGCGGATATTTGTGCATGGAACATTTCTTGATATCGTATACCTCTTGAAAACTCTGCATATATTCAGGGACGACAAGTGTACTCGACTATTTTGACAGTGAAAGCAAAGGCAGCAAAATGAACACAAAATGGTTGGTGCAAGCGGTGAAGTAAGCTTCACAGCAACAGAGAACAGTGGTGTGAAGGCGCACAAGAAGCGCAACTGCAGATGGTGTTGCGGTTAAAAACGTCACAGCATTGCCACTAATGCGAAGTAATGAATGCGATAGCAACAAATTGGAAGGTCACGCGCAGAATCGAAAGCAGATCGAAACGTATCCCACATTTCTCACACACAAATTACACACGAAACGTACTCACAGGTACAGATGAACGGAGAAAAAGCGCCTCACTTGTTACTTCGCCGTCTGAAAAGAGCGCCCTTTTCGCAAACGGAGCCTGTGTAACGATTGGAAGTGACCTTTGTGTGCCCGGTAACTACAACACATCGTCCCGGTGAAAGCCCAAGGCCAGCCAAGACGTACGATCGTCCCCACCGCAAGATAAACGCACGCGTGAGTATCCATCCTACCCTCTCTCCGCGGGGCAAAGTACACGTGCGAGATGAGAGCGCGCACCGCCGCGTCGTGACGATGTGGCGATGCGCGCTCATTGCGCCATCTTGCTAATAATGCTGAAAACACGATAGTTTCCCCCGAGATGTCCGTCGCCAGCGGTAAGTGGTAGATATAAATTGCTTGCCATTGAAACGTTGAAGGAGGTGCTTCTTCGTGGCTCAGTGGCTAACACCTCGCACTCAGAATTCAGAGGTCCTGCGTTTGATTCCGCGCACCGGAGTCTTCTTCTGGATTTTTTTTTCTTTCTTGCATTTTCGTATATATAGACGCGCATACATATACGTTGAGTGATGTTGAGGCCGGTGGCAAAATCCAGCTGCGAGTGTCCATATAATTGCTATCGCTATAATAACTTTCCTCTTCACAACTTGAGAAGTGACACTCAGCAGTGCCCCTTTCTTCGGCCTCTTCATCCCCAAATAACTGTTGATGGAAATCGCGAGGTGGTGCGTTCATGAGACAGTGGGGCGGTATTTTCCCACTTTTTGAAAACACTCTCACGAGCTTTTTTTTTTTTGTAAACTAATGGCTTGATTTTGATGAAGTTTAATTGAAACAATTTGTCGTTGTGGATATGACTATACCACAGCCGGTTTTCATATCCTCGGTTCAAAAATATGGCGAACCTACGAAGAGTTAGAAATGTGAATAAACAGAGCCGAACGCTGTCAGTATTAGGATGCCAGCGGCAACGATTGATTCCTGCTATTATAGTTGCAGGCATGAGCACTTTGTACGGAGCACGTGGTTGAGCGTATAGCGGTTGCCCACGTTGTGAGTGGCGTTTTAAAATACAGCGAAGAACCAATTTAGAGAGAGAGAAGAAGCACCACTTTGTCGCTGCTGATCAAATGCACTATAAACGAAAAAGGCGGTGCTACTACTTTCGACACAAACAAAACGCGAAGGTTGAGTGTAAACTAAAATAATATATGCAACTGGGCACCGTGGTGGACTAGTGGATATGGTGCCCGGCTGCTTACCAGAGCGTCGTGGGATCGCATCACGCCGGCGGTGACCGGATTTCGACGGAGGCGGTGTGCCTGAGGCACGTTTGCTTAGATTTAGGCGAACCTTAAAGAATCCCAGAGGGTAGAAATTGCTGAAGCGCCCCACTACGGCATCTCGCATAATGACGTCGCGGTTTTGGGACGTAAAACTCCAACAATTCAAATTCATTTTATATAATTAGGAACGAATGAATTCAGTGGGCACTTGTTAAGAAATATAGGCGGTTTACCGCTTGCCGGCTTCGAACTCTGTTTAGCGACATTTCGACAATCTGGAATTTTCATACGCGCATAAATCACAGGGAATAAAAACCGCGAACTCGTGTTATCAGCGCGACGGCATAGACGCTATAAGCCATATGACATAGCAGTACTCAGTGATGTCGTTGGGCACGGTCGGAATGGCGGATTGGTAGCTTTATAGGTTTCCCAGTCAAGGAGTCGAAACAAGCTGTATTTAGGTGCAAGCACGTGTACTCACCGCAGCCTCGTTCGTCGCTTCCATCGATGCAATCGGCGACTCCGTTGCAGCGCACCGACCCCGTGGCAGATGACACGCAGAATCCGTTCATGCACTGGAACTGGTTCTCACCGCAGGCTAGAAAATAAAAGTAATAAAATAGTTAATTGGCCCCGACTAGGAACGTTCTTATTCCGATGTTTTGCGAACGTCGCGCGAACTTGCATTGTTCCTTACAATTTTTTTCTTTCTTTTTTTAAAAAAAGAAAGCATGAGAAGAGAGTATTGAACATAGGTGATTATGTCGCAAAAGAGAAGCATAATATGAAAGAATAGCGTGAAACTGTAAGACATACATGACTATATAAAAGTTAGGTTTGCTCAATTTACTTTTTGTGTTTGCGCGCATGGTTATGTAGCCGATGCCACTGGAAGATATGAGCTGGTTATTGAGGCAACAACAACACAGGGTGGGTGCTCAAGGCGTTCGTCAACAGGCTGTTGGAGAAATAATAATAATAATAATAGTTAAAGCAATAGAAAGCACCTGAATTATGCGCTGTTCGCCCACGATATCACATCGCAGAACGCGTACAGTCACGTCCTGTATATATTTTAGTCAAAACTGCCGAGGAAGTTCATCGCGAAGGTTTTCCCATTAGCTTGCTTATTTGTTCCTGGGCTTGCAACCAACCATTCTTTTTTTTTTTACTTTTGAATCCCGGTGGCTGCATTTTCTTCGGAGGCGATATTGTTCAAGACCCGTGTGCTGAGATTTGGTAGCACGTTAGAGGACCCCAGCTGGTCGAAATTTCCCGAGCCCTTCACTGCGGCGTCTTTCACAATCTTATGGTGGTTTTAGGACGTTAAACCTTATCTATTACTACTACATTATCGTTTTTACTCTTGTTTATATATCCCAGAAATACTGATCCACCAGTGAGTAACGCAACTGGTTCTTGTTTTTCTCGGACGAATAACTTTCCTTAATTTTCTCGGGAACCTGCTGTGTTGTCTACTTGGCAACTTTACGCCTTGGGCTTCATCAGACTCTGCGTTATAACATTAACAGGCGTGCGCCGACCTTTCGTAGTGTCACGCAATCGTGATGCAAGTGGTATGCAAGCTTCAGACGAAATATGTTTTCCTAACGACCACCGGATCATCAACAAGCTCGTAAAGTTAACCCACGTTCCTGGAAACCGCACGTATATCGCCAGGCTGGTCGGAACATAGTTCGCAGGGTCAATGCTATTCGGTTTCACAAACACTTGTCTTTTTCTTTGTCTAGCTTGCTGACTGACTATCGTTTGCTAACGCGGCAGCGGCTAATCAGGCTGTTGATTGCCGTCAACGGTGGCATGCACGAAGTTATGTTGCTGGCGGATGTTGCAATAACACTCGAGAGCGACGTTCGCAGGAAAATGCAGCGAAGACGTAGCTTTCGGGCATCACGGCCCCGGACCTGCGCGTTGGTCTATACGGCCGATGAAAGAAGTATGCGGTTGTATAAACTTGTTAGTGCGCAGCTTGTGGTTAAAGCACTTCGCCGGCAATCGACAAGGCGAGCATCTAAAAGAGCTGTCCTGGTCCTGGTAGCCTCGTGAAACTCTTGTACCATGGATTCCGTGACAGCCTGCTAGCGCTACTATAGGTCATCGTGGAATCGGAGACGGAAATTCGATGGCTGTTCAAGGAAACAGTCTCGGTCTTGTGAAAGAAATGAGAATACACGACCTGTTCATATGGCCCATGCCCTGAATAATGTGCTCTATAGAAACAAACGCGTACGCTGTGAAGGCATTCGCGCGCATCACAATTCTATACATGTGTGAGGTGCAGGACGATCCTCATCGGTATCATAATCACTTTATTCGTGTCATTAAACGGTGATAATTAAAACAATGAGAATATAAAGTACCGCTAAGAACACGACGCTCCCTCTTCTACAGCGGGTTGCGAGGGGCTGTAGAATATAGAAGTTACGCAAAATTCAAACTGTTTCATTTAGGTACGAAATTTGGTTTTACAAAGTTCTCGAGCAATATTGCATTGGATTCGTCGATGAAAGCACTCGTTTAAAAGAGCACTAGCTGACATCAAATTTACTCACGCCAAGATTTTTGCGTCATCGAGTAGCTATAGACGCCATTGCAGCGATTCGCGATCTAAAACGCAACTGAAGGATGAATAACTATCACTTTTATTGATTTATATCACCGGTATCTAGCACGATTCAAAGCGGCCGACAATCCCGCCATTTTTAGCGCTGGGAGCACCAGCAGTGGTGCTACCTCGCGGGCACCTCCAGAACACGCCACAGCTGACCACTTCTCTACAGAAAAGAGTGACGTCAGCTTTAGCTGGTCCACAAACATTTCGTCTGCTAGGCGGACACATTCAATCATGCCTTGTCACCTGCATCGCTGTTGTCGCCGTACAAAGAGTCGACTCGGTATCAATACGATAGTCTGGCACCTGGAATCCCCACGATTCGTGACGTCGCAAATTATTTTTGCTTCGATCGACCTTTTGCAAAACAGTGATCCCGAAATGGACGCCGATCCAAGCAGCACTGCAGAGAAGCCCGAGGATGCACGCTTCAGCCATGTTCGCTCGTGTGTCTCAGTTAGCTATATTGGTGTGTTTTGGCGTGCAAAGAATTCAGGTATACGCACAGGGCTCAATGCAATATAGCTATCGCGAATGAACATCAGCTTAGAAATAGAATATGTTTCCTGCTTGCCAGGTTCTTTTTTGCACCTCCTGATGGCCCACCTATCCAGCCTCTCGCGGTTAACACGGTATTACCACTTTTACGTGGACGCAAAGCCTGCAGATGAAATAAAATTCAACGATACCTGCGTGTTACTCGTTAGCGATGATATCTGACTATACGCTGTTGCACTTTTGATAGCTTGTGGTAGCGTTGATGTGTAACACATATATACGTGATATGAAAAGACACCCTCATTGCGCTTTTTCCGTGCTTCGAACAAGACGACTACAACTCACCTGCAACTCACAACGATTCTCCGACTTGCTGACCGACAATCGCACGTTTAATCATGCTCTTTTCTTTCACCGTTCTTTTAAAAGTGGTTTTTATCTTGATATTTCGCGAAATCATTCAAACCAGTACGACGAAGATCAGACGCGACGAGCGAGTGCGTTTCCGCGCTTCGGCGCCACGATAAGAACGCTCGGAGCATACACGTCATTGCTACAACGGCATCGTCACTCAGGATGGTATTTGTGGAATTTACCACACCGAACACGTAGCACTGGTGTCGATGTCGCAGGGCAGTCTATTTTTCGATTGTTCTTCTTAGCTTTTCTGCGCTGTTTGACATCGAATTAAAATAACTTCCACGCGACGGATGCCATTCAAGTTTGTCCAAGAAGACCTATGCATAATTAGCGATCGAATGATGGGCACGTCTCAATCTTGGAATTTGATGTCAGTGCTCCTTTAATCCTGTATACGAATGAAAGAACTAGTGTCTTTTCATCAAATTAAGATACCGCGCAATCTCTTGAGCACCGATTTCTTAAAAGGGTGCTAAATTTTTCTATAATGGGACATAAATGTACCCTGAATTTAATTTATTTATTTATGTCAATACTGACAGTCTGTATTTCAAATCTTTGGCAGGATTGTGTTACAGGTTATGCAGATACATACAGAAAAGATATACATTAGACGTATGCAAATATCAGAGCAATACACGTAAAGGGTTTTCCGTCGCGTGTCAACACTCCTTTAATAGGAAACGAAGCTGAAAATACTTACTGCAGTTGACCTCGTCTTCCCCGTCCTTGCAGTCCTCATGTCCGTCGCACCTCAAAGCGGAGGGAATGCAGAGCTTGTCTCCGCAGTAGAACTTGTTTGATTGCTCGCACAGGGTCTTGTCCACTGGGAAGTGTCAAACAACACACGCGACCCTGCACTAGGCGACAAAAAGGCGTTCCAAGCGGACTACACATTACAGCACGCTTGCGTCGCACCAGTCTTCGTGAAAAACATCTGCTGTTGTGTGTTTTAAGAGAACTTAAAAAGTATCAACATAACGTGAACAGAGTGGCTCTTTTGTATTTGCGTTTGTCCCTTTTCTATTCTGTCTGTACGATTGCCGACAGTCAGCAGCTATAAAATGTCTCCCAGTCCGCTCGGACAAGTTTGTCACCACAATCGAAGTTGTTAGGTAATACGAACAGCATGCCTATTTTTAAGAAGAAAAAGGGACAAATAAATGCATCGTTGCGCTTGTCCAACTGTATTTCGTCCCTATAGGCGCTGTTCGCATTGGCATTGATCGGCTTCCGAGAACAGACCACACCTAAGCTTTCGTCAACCAAGAAGTACAACAGCTCGTGGACTCCATATGCCTCTTCACGTGCGCATGCGCAACTGCTAGTTTTCCCTATCGAGTAATTTATTCTCGTCGATCAGTGCGGTCTAGTGAACGCAACATGCATCTTCTCAATAGTCTAGTACACTAAAGCTTCCTTGCCTACTTCACGTTGAACTATTATGTGCTGCGCATTTCAATTTATATTTTTTATTTCAGCACTTATTGTGGGTGGCAAGCCTGGTACAGTGGTTTCATTTTGTTGTCCTGTCTTTGCCCATTGTTTCCAAACTCCATCTTTGTGTCATTCTTGGTCATCATTCAACTGCCAATAAGTGAAGCAAGTAAAGTAGTTTAATAATCTGTCACACTCACTCCTCCCAATCAATGATATATCTGATATATGACACTGCCTGTACTTATCAGCGCGCACTTTGCAATCAACGCCAGTGATGCAAAACAGTCGGGAGAATGGAATGAAAAAAAAAAATCTTATTTTAGTCCTGCAGGACGTGCTTTAGCGCGTAGCGGGCGTCTCCCAGAACCCTGTTTAGAAAGCACAAAGGATAGCGGCAGAGAGAGAGAAGAAGACGGGGGAGATGGACAGCAGACTCGCAGGACAAACTTACCGCATCCGCTTTCGTCGCTTCGGTCTCTGCAGTTGTAGATGCCGTCGCACAGACTGAGCGGCTTGATGCAGGCGCTGCTGTCGGGGCACATCACTTCGAGGTCGCTGCACGTGGAGTTTACTATGTCTGCAACGCAGAAAGAAGGCGTGCACGCCGGTCACAGCTCGAGCTGCACGGCAATGATTGACGCTCGATCTGGCCGCGTGACTAACCGCAAAGCGAGGTCGTATCAATCGAACAGCCTGCCCGATCGATTTGGCCTCTGGTCTGATAAACCGCTTGACCAGAGCCGAGTATACCGGGAACTGCGTGGTTCTTTGGTTTGAATTGGTTGCTGATGTAGCCAGCGCATGTTAGAAACAGACACAACGAAGCTTCGTCGCACTCGAACTGATCTTCAAACGCACCAGCCAACACATGAAAGGCTACAAGAAAAAAACGAACAGGGGTCCTGAGTGTCGGTACGCTTTAAGGTTACGTTTCAATAAGAGCCTCGACCAAATAAACCAACTCGAAGTCTTGCATCTGGGTCAGCCATGCTACTACCTTTGTCATAGGGTTCGACAAATCTAGCTGTATATTTTACACAAGGCAGTGCATTTGATAGTACCACATGTTGAAAACCTAACGAGTACAATAGGCACTGTCTTTGTGCAACGACGTCTTTCATAACGTAAATAAAGAACGATATGTATTAACCTTTCGGTGACACTGATTTAGCAACAAATTTGCTCACTCAAAAAAAAAAAAAAGCCAGCTTCTGCAGCCGCGTTCCGCATTTCTATAGAACGTTCAGCCTAGATATTTCTGAAAACTGTAAACCCCAGTAGAACGTACAAAGATCTTCGACAAAAAAAAAAAAATGAAAGGGGGGGGGGATGATTATTTTGATCGTTCGAGAAGTTTTCACTCCAATGCTTCAAACACACTAGCTGAGTAGTTCTACTGAACCGAGTTCGGCGGTAAAATCTTTGTGACGCAGTTGCATTCAATCTGCTACTTGTCGAACAGATCGTGAATGTGCGGAAACTTCGACTGCATTGTAGAATGTGCGCCTCATGTCTGTTCGACATTCTCTCAAAAGCGAGAACGGCAATAGCTGAGACGAAGACAACAACTCATGTGCTCAATCTGCAGCTGATTGACATGCAAGCGCTAGGGAGAAACTGGGTGGGCGTGGCAACTCCACCAGGAGACAATCGTCAGTCCGGGTCTTTTCGTCCCAGTCTTTGAAATGTCTGCACGCGTTCGCAATTACCACCAGCAACAAAGGTGGGCCTTACCGCAGTTGTGCTCATCTTCGCCTTCCGGGCAGTCCCGTATGCCGTCGCACTTCGCCGAGGCCATGACGCACGTCTTGTCCTTGCACTGGAAGTTCATTCCGCAGGTGTCGGTACCTGGCAGGCGGGCGCCGTCCGAGCGGAGAAATAGAAGAAGAAGAACAAGGGCGACACATGATACGCTATAGGACGCGCCGGGACGTCGCTTGGCTTCCAGCCACGCGCAAGCGGTAGCATTCGTCGACATCGCGCGATATCAAAGGCACGGCGACGGCGCGGCCAATATAGGCTCGTTGCGAACTGAGAGAGGTGTAGGGGCGCTATAAACGCAGGCTACCGTCACCAATTCTCAGTTGCCTCTGACTGGTGCTGCCTGCATTCTCTGCAGCGCTGTAGCGACGTCAAGTAACCAAGGGGTGCCTTGCGAAATGGCTGAGCCGACACGCACAGGCACGAGTTTATGAAAGGAATCCATCTCCCCAAGCAGGAAGTAAAACCTCGCGGAGGAGAAAAAAAAAGATGATGTGCTGCTCAGGCCCTAACTGGACAAACACTGTCGTGCTGAACTGCAATAGCCACGTGCGTAATGGGGAGCCAGTGAACTTGGTTACGTCGGAGCCAGAATGAGAGTAGCGATCGTAAGACTCCCGTAAACAAGTTATTCATCTCGTCTTGAAAGAAAGTCAAGCATGCAGAATTCAATGGAGTAACGCTTATATGCACTCACAATTTTGCTCGTCCAGTGCTCCAGGGCAGTCTTCGAAACTGATCACAGAGGAGGTTGGTCTTCAGACAAGTGTGGCTTCCTTCGGCGGGACAGAAGAACTCCTCTGAAGAAGAATAGTCACAAGTAGCAGTCGGGACTTGTTTTATTTTTGAAAACGCCTGTTATTGACGTGCCCTTTAGTGAGACGCCAGCTGACAAAAGTGGCAACGACAAAGAGCATATAGGCTCACAATGAGTTTGTGTTGCACATTGTACGTAATGTAGAGGAAGGAAAGCTTTCTCGTCACTATGGTTACACAGTGGCAAACATGCTTAATTCTGCCCTTATAGCGCCGAATTTAATATGATCTGCTAGTGTTGCGGACAACATGCAACATGAAAGCAGGTGAACAACGCAAAAATATGTGACGTGCTCGTAAGGCACGGTTAAAATTTGTGCTCAGTGTTCACAGAATTGTCCCTATTCAGGAGCCTGGCCAACCAGAATACAGATAATGGTGTGTACTTACAAAGAGCTCTTACTCTGATGTTGCTCATAGGATTAAATTTCAGGCAATCCAGACACTGGACATTTATAACCGACGAAATAGACTCGCCAGTGACAAAGAGCACTTATTAAAAATAAACGAACTGTCAGTTCAGCCACGGGATTGTATTCATAAAATGACCTCACGTTAGTTCTGTGTAAAAATATTTCAGACAATTTTTATGCTCGCATGTCATTAGTGAAGACGGCTAGCCCGTGTAAAAGACGTTTACGAACGACTACCCTTACGGATTAGGCACCATGATATATAGCTAAAGTAGCCGGTCTGTTGGAAGCAGTTTTTAAATACTTCTTTGCGAATCGGCTGCACCAGAAAACGAAGCACGTTACACGAGATTCAAATGAACATAGCTTACCGGTGGAACAGTGGACGCCGAACATGTCTTCCGTCGAGTTCGCCATGGTTTCGTTGAAGAATTCGGTGGTCGTCATGTCCACGTTCGTCATGTTGTTGCTGTCGGTCATCATGCTCGTTCCGTCGCCATCTCTTAACGTAATGTTCGCGGCGTTAAGCAGCGTGCCGTCGGCCGTCATGTTCCAAGAATCCATGGTGCTGTTCACTACGTCCAGACCATCCTCTGACAGGGTGTTGTTGTTCATGAAGGTCAGGTTCCTGCCCATGGCGAAAGTGCGGTTGCTGACGTTCAAGTCTGGGTCCACTTCTTCCGTCGACGAGCCATTGCCGAAGCCGGGATACACCAACGTCGCGTTCATCGATTCGGTATCGTTCATCACGACCGGCCAACGTTGTCGTCATCAGGGAGACGTCGGTGGCCGTCTCGACCAGCGACAGCGTGGTGTTCGGAGAGTCTGTCACGTTGAACGGCAGGGTTTCAGTTGACAAAGATCGGATCTGTCGATTGTTGTCGAGACAGGCGGTTGCGTCGTGCTCAGCCGATGTCGGTGTCGTTCATGGCATCGCCATCAATTTCCCGGAACACCGAAGACATCTGCGTCGTGGTAGTTTCCGCCAAGGTTTCATTTTCAGTTGCCGTAGCATCCTTTCAGTTCCGTTGTCTACTTCTGTGGCGGGCGTTGCTGAAAACACCATAACGGACGGAACAGTGACTGAGAACATCATGCTCTCTTCAGTGCTGTTCTCCGAAGACACCGATGAAGTTGGTGCCGTTTCGTTCATAAGCCACACAGTTACCGGTGTTTCGCTTGACGGCACAGGAACGGTCGTTAATATGCCGGCAGTCCGTGGTCACGTGGCGTTCTGTCGTCATACCAGAAGCAGTGGTTTGTTCAAGTACTACGGCAGCGGTAGTTTGTGCCGTGGTCACCGGCGTAGTTACGGCGTTCACTATCATACTGACTGTAGCATTAGCGACTTCACTACTTTCAGTGGCAAAGGTCGCAACCGTCGTCTGACTTGCTTCTCGAGTCGATGAACTTTCGACTTCGGTCGACGACTGCGGCTCTGTCATCAAGGTCGCGCCGGTCGTAGGCACCGTAGCCTGCTCAATCGCGGGGCTGGGCGCCGTCACTAAGGTTTCCGTTGTTGGAGGTGCTGTGGTGTTGGTCATTGCCATCTCAGGAGAACTCAGTTCGGAGTCGGCGGTCATGGTCGGGGAAGCGGTTGTTGCTAGCAGAATCAAAGTACCCGGAGCTATAGAAATCTTTGGTGTCGTTGTCTCTTCTCCCGGAGTCGCCGGCGTCTCCGTGACAGTAGCGGATGTCGTCGTCAAGGCATCCATTGGCGCCTCCGTCTGAGTTGTCGTCGGCGGCGGCGGTGACAGACGAGGGATCATTGGGGTCGTTGTTTCTGACATGTCATCTTGAGAGGTGGCCGGTTCCTTTTCCGTAGGTGTTGTTATCCACTCTGCTGTCATTGGATGCTCTGAAGTGACTTCCGTGGTGTCGCTTATTGGCACAAAGGTTGTTGTACCAGTCTTTTCGTCTACAGTTGTTGCTACTGCTGCAGGAAAGATGGGAAGAAAAGCGAGAACAAAAACGCTACATTACAGTCGTGCTGTATAAAATTTCAGTTGAAATATGTGTGTTATCAAGCCATAAATGATACAGATTAGGATGGAAAAGCGATGGTGCAGGAGCATTAGTGTTCTGCATGAATCGACGATTGTTGTGAAGAATCTTATAACATTGAACGTTACAAAGGAGATGCAAAAACAGCGAGGATAATCGCACTGGCGGTTAGCCTCAGGAAGTGAACCGCCAGATAATCTTTTGTGGCATTTAACGATATCCAAGTTACCACTGTCAAGAATGCGTGTTCCATGTCACGCATACTGAAAATGCTATAAAGAAAAATAAATTTGAAAGCTGTAGTACAACCTAACTGCCTAATTCACACATTGCTTAGTGAACTACCCCTGATAAGTAATATGAATTAATGGGCCAGCGGACGTCAGAAACAAGTCGATAAAATATGAAAAATTATGCGTTTTAAAAACAAGTGACATCACAAGGTCACTAGTAAAAAAGTAAAAAAAAGTTGCATCTTTTTAAATTACGTAATCAATCCCCCACCTCCCACCACAAGAGAAATGAAGGTTTCCCGTTAAAATACATATACAGCGGTTCACGAACTCTATCTTTTAATAATTTGGTGATACCAGGCGAAGACACAGAAAACATCTGAGTTTTTGACAAAAAGTAAATGCAGATGCGTATCTGATCAGAACGTGCAGTAACTGGAGCGATGGTGAATGATACAGAGCATGCGCATGCACGCTGAACATATGCAGCTGCGGGGGTACAGGAGTACAGGAGAGGAGTCCGTTTGCGGCTTATCTGTTCATGATCGAGGTACTGGAAGCAACAAGGCAGAGTGCCCTAAAATAACGTGTATAACCGATATATTTTCGGCAATCATCCAAGATTCGACTGCTCAAACGTAAGAGCTTTTCGTAAAGACAGGAACCGACCAATCGGGTCAGCGATAATGATAATATACAAACAAGCTAGTAAGCATTATTAGCTAAAGTACGATTGTCTCCAATGGTCAAATGATTCAGAGACTACAATGACATATACTCGGTCTGTTTTGTTTGTTGACTTGTTGGTTAGAAGTCAGATTATCATTGTTGTGCTCTGTAAATGTAAGGGAGAAGTGTTATAGGACATCGTACGTGATATTAGCCTCTTATTCAGACGTATTCAATTATCAGAAAGAAAAAAGACATGAAAACCTCGCTACATCGAGGTACGCTACATTCGAAAATATATCTACTTTCCTTGATAACCGATTACAATGAACAAGGAGTTTCAAGATGAATGGTGACGTGACGTGACAACAACTTTGTCACATCTGGTAGTGTAGTTTGTCATGTTTAAATATTCAGAAGTAATGAAATAAATAGGCGAGATTCCAGTGGTATATTCCAAAATTCACTGCTTCCTATCCGGTGAATTAAGGCTTATACGGAGGATAAAATCTTTCCCTTCACCATCCATCAAAAAATGCCTACTCAAGGGATAACTAGCACACAAAACTACGTGAAGGGCTGCATATGAGTATTTTGACTACAAGAGACAAAAGAGGATTTGATACGAATCAACAACCTTGTGGAGTTTTTGTTGAAACATACTGCTAACGGAAGTTGGGGCGAGGGAGGGGGCCTAATGAAAAGCTACATATGAGGAAGGGCATGTAAGACTCATTGTCGTATAAAAGCTAACCCTCGTATTCTCGAATGATTCTTCGCTCGCCGACATTTCCCCTGGACGCGCGAAAGCGGATCGCAGCGATAGCTTGTCCTAGAGCAAAGTTCTTTTTTTTTTCAATTTTAGATACAACGCTTCAGATACAATGTTGAAGAGCCCATCGGCTCCCTCACTCAAGTTGCCGCACTTCAGTGAACTCATTGACGGAAGCGCCTCGAGTCGAGGGTACTTTGAGGATAAGGGGTATACTGTAGTAGTGTATGTCCCCTACTCCTTCGCATGTCATCAATCGATGGGGGCAACAGATTACCGGTTACGTGTCATTTTTGAGTGCTCGAAACGAGTACAACAAATAGAAGCGAGCGTTTGAGCTGTGAACGAAGCGAAAAAGGGCGTAGGTGGCACACTTAGCTCAAGCACAAGTGACAGCGTGACACAGGCGGCATCATGCGGGGGGTGATGTCGAGAAAGCGGATGCGCGGGCGTTGCTGGCATGACGTAATGGTTTACTACGTGCAAGCGTGAACGCGGAAATGGTACTCGCAGAAAGAGAAGGAAAAGAGGCAGTGATGAAGACGCAACATGGCGGGGGTGTGCATTGCGACCGTGCTTTGTTCGCTCCTCACCGGGTGTTTGCGGCTGCGCGCACGCGGTCTCATTCAGCCTGCTCGCGCCGGCCAGACAGGTGCAGGTTTTGGTGCCACTCAGGTAGTCCCACTCGCACTCGCTGCCGAGGCAACCCCCGTTGGCCACCTTGCACCAGTTCGTCACGTCTGCGCACCAGACACCCAACTCAGGCTCGCCGGGCGCGCGCGCTGCTTCCCGTTTTCCCACACCCGTGATGTTTGGCACCCCTGGCCTATTCACCTCGGCCACCACCACTATACTGTGACCACATGCAAGAAAACCCATCACCAACACGTGCCACAAGTCGCAAAAAAAGACCGTCACCACACCGCCACCACGACCACAACCGCAGACAGCCGTTCCAAACGCGTATCAGGAGTCTCAAACAGACGAAGCTTATGACGCAGTTGGATGCAACCATCGCGATTCTTTCTGGAGTACACACTCTGGCTCGTGGTCGCAAATTGTCTGAGCATCAATGAAATCTTGAGTGAGAATCCCAACTTCCCAACAACAATATTTCTACATGTAGCTGTGTGTCTATATGCGGTCTGGCAGCGTGAACAGTTTTGCTTAGTTACGCTGTCTATGGTTGAAATCATGTTATGTAGTGTCCCTATAAAGTTTGTGACTTATGGAAGAAAACATGTTAGTGTATTGGATTTAGTAATATGTATTGTATAGGTACATGACTCAGCCATATAGATGTACCACATAGCTTCGTGTAGCGTCTCTGCACAGATCCTCTGTGTGGCTCAACCATACAGAGAGTCACTCCGCACAAAACTATGCCCACAGTCCGGCCAACTGGGCCGAGTTTACTCAATAGCTGTCCCAGTGCCCAACGCGTGTTTGAAACCCCTGATCGTACAAGTCCATGTGACGCAAGCCAAAACAAATACATGGTGGGTGTCATGATACGTTGTCTTTGTCGCGGGGTGTTGCAGTAGCGTCAAAATTCACAACGAAAATGCCATGGTGCGCTGAAGAAAACAAGTGTATCCACGCAAAGCGATGTACGTTTGGCCTATACTGAACTATACAGCTCAAAGGCACTCGCGTACGCTAAACCTCTTACCTTTAGTGCTATGTACAATCACCTTGGTGTGTCGGAATAAGCCTTAAGCGAACGTGCTTCATTACTGTCGTTTATAAAATGCCATTTAATAATTACAACTCAAGGTTTGTGCCCATATTGTATGCTGTATTGATGTTTCATTTCCCCGTCATTTACGTTCATACGAGTACCGAAAACATCATTCGTATGTACAGTCAGAGTCAGATGCTCAGGGATCACGAAGCTCAAGAGAAAGCCGAATAATCCAACTGCTTCTGCAGACAATCTTCGATTTAGATTCCTGGTCCGTTATAAAACGCGCTAATGACATGTGCCGTGCCGTTCAACCAAATACAGTCACAAATTCCTGATAAAGTTAGTTTCCTCTGAGCTAGGGGCTCCTAAAGCTTTCACTCCGGCTGTACAGTCCGTGCAAAGTTATCTTGCGGCTTTTGATTGAATATTGGTGGTATCTCCCGCTAATGTTCATTAAGAACATGTCAGCTTTTAACTGTAAATACTTTTGAATAAGACAGGAAAAAAAACTAAGAAAAAATGTAAGGCATGGGCAATCTGCCGTCACTACCATATTTGCTGCAGTGCAGCTCAGAACATTTACCAAACAAATACTTATTTTCCATCTTTTTTTTCCGCTGTAGCGTACATTAGTGCCATGGTTCTTGTTACGTTAATTCATTTCTGTTTGTTATTTTTTACTGAGCATCATTTTGTCTTCTTTGGTTTCTCACTGACATCCTTCCAAACA